GAAAACTTGACATCACATCGATATCTGCACTTTCTTAACACTTTTAGTGCCTAGCAAAAGTATCGTACCTATGCGAAGAATACCGAGTCAATTTGACGAATTTGCTAAGGTTTGAGAAAAAGCTCATAAAAACCAAACTAAAAATGATATTTACAAAATTCAAAAAGCAGCATATTACGAAATAAAGAAAGAGTACAGTAATGCCAATTGTATTTCAATATATGTTGAAAATCATACGAATAACATCAATATAAAACATGATGAAAAACATAGAAACAAGTTTCTCTTCTACAAATAATATTTGCACATAAGAATAATCATCGTTTGATCATAGTTTTATGTAGATCACGTAGTATGAAGTATAAGTATTACATTTTCAATCATTTTTAACAAAATAACTAATATCGGACCTGAGAACAAAACTGTCCCGTGTCAAGTTTCTACCTTATCACTCCAGCGTATACAGAGCCACGGCATCAACCAGCATAGAATATAATAAAAAGTTAAACCCAAAAACAATTTTTTAAATTCTTTTGCAATGAAATTAGACCGTTTATAACGTTTTATAAATTTATTTTGAGATAGAGCTTTCTCGCATGCGAATAGTAAAACGCCCTCGGATACGCGATGATATATCGTCGTTGGCACTTTTCGCAAGTGTTGCGAACGACGATATATCGTCGTTTGGCACTAAAAGGGTTAATACACTATTGCTAGAGCTAATTCAAAATATTCCCTTTGATATAAAATGTATGTATTCTCAATAGAATAAAAATAGCTTATAACGCACAAATAGTTCAAAATTATCTTCAGGATATCTTTGAAAATCTTATTATAAGTACAGGATTTTCCATTAAGAGATTTTATTTTAAATTTCGTGCCATTTTTAACCTTTTAAAAATAGAACTGTCATTCCTTAACAGCTGGCAAGTAAAATGTGTACGGTTAACGAAAAGGTAACGATATACATACTCTTCAGCAACGTATAGAAATTGTGAAAATTCACTGCAAAAATTGTGAAAATTTCGCGGAGAGAGTTCGTAAAGTTCGTGTTACTTTCGGTCGTAATGAAGCATCTTCTTGTCCAGCAATTGTTAACCTAATCAAGAAATTTGAATGTTTGGGTCAAGTTAGTGATGTAAAGATCCTAACTCGTGCTTGGTTAGCCAGATCAACCGTCTTTTTCGAAAACGAAACCGATGCCACCGTTTAAGTCAATAGGCTGCGTTATCGTACGATATTGGCCGACTTTTTTGGCCTGAAATAGATGATTTGAATCTGCACAATGTTTATTTCCAGCAGGATAGCACAACGTACCAGACAAACAGCAAAACAATCGCGTTATTGTGTGAAAAGTTCCCTTGAACGCATAATTTTTCGATGCGGAGACTTTAACTGGCTGCCTAGATCGTGTGATTTAACACCGCTAGTCTATTTTCTTTGAGGCTATGTGAAAAATAAGGTCTACGTCAATTTTTTGCAAACTATTCAAGATCTCAAGGACAATATCGAATATGTTATTCACGAAATCGAGCCACAATTATGTGAAAACGTGATGTGAGATTTCTTTAAAAAAATGATCATTTTTGTAAAAATAGTCGAGGCGGCTACGTATCAGATATCGTGTTTTATACTTAATTACGATCTGTACTTGCATTGGAATAAAAATATTACCACTTAAAAAAAAACTGTTTTTCTAATAATTTAAAATGAAACTTCTTAATGGAAAATCCATATGTATATATGGACTAGTCCGATAGCCGGCTTATTTTCCGGATTTATCTCCAATAGATTTCTTCTTATGGGGATATTTGCAATCTGTTGTATATGAAACACCAATTAATAATATTCAAGGCCTTCAAAAAAAGATAATTACAGCTTGTGCAACTTTGGATCCAAATAGTATAATAGCTACTACGCATAGTAATTTGTTAAAAAGATCAGAACTTTGTATTGCAGAAGGAGACAAGCAATTTAAACATTTACTTACATAAGTTACAATTTTTCTTTATTGTTATAAATAAAAATGACATTGCAGATAGTGACATTCCAAATAGTGCGTTGAATTCATCTTAAATCCTCTATAAAATGGAAAAAATAGCATGATCCATAAAAAATTCAAGGTAATATTGATTTTTTTATGAAAACAATTTTTTTTTAATTTTGTAAATTGTGAGTTATAGTTTGCATAAAACGTGAAAGTGAATACTTACCTTATAACCTTTTCTTTAAACTGCCGAAAGTATCTCAAAAATCGTGCAGACCGTTACGCTGAATATCCTGTACCTATGACCGTCTTAAGTTTATCTTCAGACGCTATACTGCTCATTTCATTGGCTACAAAACATCTGAAGATGAACTTAAAATGGTCTTAAATATAAGATCTAACTATAAATACCAGCCATAAACATATGTATAGACATGCGAGCAAGAGAAAACGAAGAAGACACAAAACAGAGTGCATCCTTTTTTATGTGCATCTTGANTATTTCACAAGAAATGGTTTTAACATAAATTTTTAATGCAATTTCGCTATAATTTAACAAAAATACTTGTAAAATTATAATTACAATTGAAACAAATAAATATATGTGTCTTTTTTTATTATTAGGCTACAAGCGTGTCAAATCTAGGAAATCTACGTAACTTCTAATAGATAAAACAGATGAATTGGAATGAAAGGAATTGAATCGCTTTGAACACTAATTAACATTACGTCAATGTTATAATTTCTTACTCAACAATGTAAGTGTAATGTAATATGCATTGTATATAATAGTTATATTGTTAAGTAGGAAATTATAACATTGTTGTGATGTTACTATTAGTTTGTTTACTGGGATAGTGAGAACAATTTTTTAGAGTAAGATTAAAATAATGAATTAAAAAATTTATAATTAACTAATTAACTAATGGTTTAAGGCATGCAAGTACGTTATATGAGTTATTATATGATATTTTATATATATGTATGAGACTAAGTTGTTAAGTTAGGTTAGCTTCAATTAGCAATATACGATAAAATAATAATATAATAGTAATAAGAGGTTTTTATTAATCGTATCATTTTCTACTATAAGTCTATTATTTACGTGAAAATAGAAACATGAATGATTGTGTGCGGTGTAAATTACATCCTGCTGGCTTTGAAGGCGTCGATACCGAATAAAATTCGCGAATGTTACTACTTTTAATAGGTTAAGAAAAGGATTAAGTAAAGGTATTGGAAAGGGCAGCACTAAAAACAAAATTTGTTTCTACATGAAATCTAGGAAAAAAGAAGTCTGCGGTGTAAAATACATTCTGCACACTTACTGTTAGTGTTTTAATAGTAGTTTTTCTTTAAAATCTCATTTTTAGTTTAGGAAGATATTAAGAATAAAAATAAAAATAGTACGTTAATTTCAAGGAACATAATATAAAAAAGAGTCAACTTTAGTTACAAATATTTTAGCTTTTGAATTGTTGATCTTTTTTTAATTGCACGAGGAATAGGTTAGATAATATTTTAATGTATACGCAGTGCAAGTTTCATGGAATTCTTATCAAACTCATTTCGCCTTATAACCTTTAGCTTTTAAAATAAAATAATTTTTGATTTAAGCTTTGAATTACTGTCAAATTTTTGGTGTTACTTTTAAGTGCAATGTATAGATTAATTTGCAACTTTTTTCATAATTTTTTCATTATTTTGAGTTATAGGCAACATAATTAACGATTATACGAGATACTGACGGGGCGCAAATGAGATTGTTTAATTTAATATCAATTTCGGTCGATCAATTTTAGCTGTGGTCTAATCGTTTTGCTATTTCTTCTCGATCGCACTGCCCATATAAAATGGAACCGACCGGCGCAAAGACAATTGAATCACGATTAAAGTTAATCGGCATTGGCGAAATTGGCTCTAAATTAAATTCAACTACGGAGTTGAAATTAAACGACGCGGAAGGAATCGACCCTTGACCCTTTCGTCCGACACCCACATGAAATATCCGTGAAATCGTCCAGTACCGAGCTGACTCTTAGCCCGCTTTGTCCATCCGATGAAAGAAGAAACCCGAACTGACAGAATTCGGACCGTCGTGAATGAATATCCGGCGATCGTCCGACGAAACTTTAATGATTTACCAAATCGAACGGACATTCAGGCAGATATCCGGTGACAAGCCAATTTCACGAGGATTGGCAAGCGTCATTGACAATGAAATTTTTAAAGCAGATTTGGTGAGCTGCATTATCAGGAAGTAATGAAAGACCGCGGGGATACCTGTCGTCGGCGTAGACAATATCCGGAGACTGTACCAATCCAGAATTCGATAATGGAATTCCAGGTCAGCAGATCGCGCTCTGTACGGCCAATACGAGAGAGATTATGGAGCTCCGTGTAACAATATGTGGTTGGTTTAGTGGTTCATCGCGCACGTATAATAACTTTCTAATCTGATACGAGCTTTGATAAAGGGAGAGAGCGAGAGCGAGAGAGAGAGAGAGAGAGAGAGAAAGAGGCCGGTACTCTCTTCCGTGTTCAAGACGACGCATATGCTGATGGAATTTACGAAAATATATATCGCTCTCAGGGAAGTCGCAGAGCGATGATTAATGCGCCCATGTTAATATCACGTTATATTCCTTACGAGTACCGGCACGCATTCACCTCATGATGTTAATACCGGCACACGTATATGTGCCCCACACACCTTGAACTATTATATAATGAGAGTCGAAGGTTGGTGCGTGTATATGTATGAGTGTGTGCGCACGTAAAAGAGAGTATCTCATTTACTTGAACACTTCTACATTAATACTCGATGTAATCTTGCGCAATAGCTTCCGCAATAATACCGCGCGAATTTCAATTATAACTTTCGTAACAAATAGCGCGCCACTGGGCCGGTGTTTTGTTCCTCTCATCATCGTTCTCATTATCATTTCCCGTTATTATCACCGACGGTCCTGCGACTCTTATTTTGCAAGGCCTCTGCTTTTCTCGTTCACAGCCTCGGACTTAGACTGCATCAGGGCACTGTTCAACGAGAAGGAGAAGGAGCTCTCGTTGGCCGTAGCTAAGGTGGAGGAGCTGACGCGGCAGTTGGAGGAGCTTCGGGGTCGTCAGAATGCCGTCGGTGTCGGTGCCGGCGGCGGGAGCGCCGGTAGTCTCGGGGGCGGTCTCACGGGTGCTACCGGGAATGGGCACCTGGTCACCCCGGCCAGCGCAGAGTTGGAAAAGCTCAGGAGGGAGCTTATGGTAAGCTTGCGCCAAGCTCGCGCCATCGATTACGCTCTCGGGAGAGAAATCGAGCCCGCGGACAAAGCGCTCGCGTGGGAATGCGTCACCGCGTTTGGCCCGTTTTCAAGCGTGCAACTAATTGAACGTGGATACAATTACTGCATCTACCGGGTGTTGAACGAAATTGGTGAGGAGCGCAACAGTGTTGTTGTGCTGAAGCTGACCACAGCGCTGCCAGTCGCTTAAATTATCTATTTATTTTTTTTTGTCAAGTCGCTAAAAATTTACTATCGTTTAAAATGAATCATTATAGACAATTTTTTTCACTGAACTGCCAATAAATTTGTAAAATATACAGTGGCGGATATATACTTATATACAGTTAGCAAAATTAAATTTTATTCATTGTGTACTTATGCATGAAATAGTTAAATAAAAGTTACGTTTTTTACAAGTTTATAGCATATATTATGAGATAGCAAAACAGTGTTTATCAATTTGCTATAACTAAGAAGTTTCTTGTGTTTGTTTACTCAAGTGTCATATTTTCTGCGGACACGTACTTACGTACACTGTGATAATACACAGATAGGTCAAAATTTCTGTAATGTAAACAATACTTATCAGTACGTACCGAGTAATGTAGGTAGAGAGACGTGTTGTAACAGTATTGTGATGAGCAAACGAAAGAATATAACACCAGAACAACGTTGGCAAATACAGCAGCTTCACAAAAATGGGAAGTCTTATCGGAAGATTTCTACAGAGTTTAGGATATCTGTTATAGCTTATTATCAAGCTATACAACATATTAAACGTTATGGAACGCCAGATAATGTTCCTCGTAAAGCGAGACCACGAAAAACCGATAAGAACTGACCGTAAGATTTATCGATTATCTGAATCAGATAGATTTAAAACTGCAGTTGATATTTATGCTGAAATATCATTAGATCTTGATAAAAATATAAGTGTTAGATCTGTCCAACGTAGATTGAAGGAATTTCAATTACATGGACGCGTTGCTAGAAAGAAACCATTCATATTAGAAAAGAATCGCCGAGTTAGAATCGCTTTTGCAAAAGAACATTTAAACTGGACGTAACAACGATGGTCTCGAGTTATTTTTACTGACGAATCTAAGTTTAATTGATTCGGATGTGATGACAAAGTATATGTAAGACGTCGCATAGGTGAAGAATATCGCAAGAATTGTATAAAACCAACTGTAAAAGGGAGTGGCGGGTCAGTAGTTGTATAGGGTTCCATTACTATTAATGATACAGGTCCTATTCATCGAATAAAAGGAGTCATGGACAGATTTACGTACTTGAACATCGTAGAAAATGTACTACTTCCATTTGCTGAAGAATATATGCCGGAAGAATGGATTTATCAGCATCTAAGCAGATAATGACCCGAAACACACCGCACGTGCCGTTAAAACATTTTTAAACGACCGTAATACCAACGTAATGAAATGGTCAGTACAATTTCCAGATCTGAATCCAATAGAAATGTTATGGATCGATGTGGACAAATATGTAAAATAACGGAAGCCGAAAAATATTGAGGAACTGTACGTTATAGTAGCAGAAGATTGGAATTCCATATCTGTTGATTGGTGCAAACGGCTTATTTAATCTATGCCACGAAGGTGTGCCGCACTTTTTAGTAACAAGGGTCTAGCTACCAAATATTAACATATTATAGTAATAAGTCAAAGAAACTTGTTAAAATATTCGTGTTTATATGTACGTAAGTAGGTGTCCGTAGAAAATATGACACTTGAGTAAACAAGCACAAGGAACTTCTTAGTTATAGTAAATTGATAAACATCGTTTTGCTATCTCATAATATATGCTATAAACTTGTAAAAAACGTAATGGACTTTTATTTAACTATTTCACGTATAAGTACACAACGAATAAAATTTAATTTTGCTATACGTAACTATATGTCCACCACATAAGTGTTCTATATATATATTTTTTTTGCTGTCCTATCTGCTGCCGATTGCCGCTCGTTGGTTACCGATCCGTTGTCCCAGCATCCTTACTTATATTGTATCGTTCATGTTCTTGATCTTTCCTTATTATGAACTTTCAAACTGTTCTATGGAAAGAATTTGCTATATGTTAAGTCATCCAAAGATAAATCTGGAAAGGTAAGAGTAAGAGTGTTATTTTTTGCTTAAATAGTCTTAGTTATTTTCAGAACTTGACAAAAAATGTCACTTTTAATCACTATTTTGATATCTGGAAGGTTAGTTTTTGTTACTTGTTCTTTCCTACCAAGAAACAATGACTATTTCACTTTTTTTGTTCTAATGACCGGATGGCAGCGCTGTGATTAGCGCGATTTCATTGCGGGATGTCGAATGTTGAAAATTCTAGGAGTTGCGCGATGTACAACTTCTAAATTTCTCGGTGTGAAATCTCGCTCAAAAAGTAGACTGACCACCAAGTCATTCGAATTTGATCGTGATCTTTTTTACTCATTTACTGAAAAGTGAGTTTGTATAATATTGAAAATTCGGGAAAAAATCCAATTTTTTTATTTTTTCGCGACTTTTTTCGATTTATTTCCTAAAGGTAGAAAAATTCACGTGTGTTCGGTCAAAACTTGTCACTTCTTTTTGTAAGGAAGATAACTGCATATACTTAATTGAAGTTAATATGTGTTATATGTTAAGCACTAAGCACTAAGCAACCTTCAAAGTATTACAACCGAATACATTGTGAACAAAAATATATATTAAATGCTTGAATTAATTCTCGCTGTTGACTAATAAAGGTCAGTAGTTGTGTTATTTCAACATGGCCGAAAGTGAGTGTGATGTATATAAAAGTACTGTCAATAAGCTTTAATAATCAGTATGTGATATGAAATCGTAGTGTAAATAACATTGCAAACTTGCACAGTGCAAATAATAATTTTTATTGCATTGAAGATGTCGGGTTTCGTACCAAAAAAAGAGCATTTGCGGGAAGCATTACTTTTCTGCTTTCATCTCAAGAAATCTGTTGTTGAAAGTCATCGTTTGCTAGTAGAAGAGGCTTAGTAGTGGGAAACACGCTCTATCCGAAACAACTTACAAAGATTGGTTTAAACGATTCAAAGACAACGATTTTGACGTGAATGATAAAGAGCGACCTAGTCAGCCGAAAAAGTTTGAAGATGGAGAATTGGAGGTATTACTGGAAGAAATTCATGTCAGACGCTCAAAGAGTTGCCGGAAACACTAAATGTCGATGAGTCAACCATTAACAAACGTTTAAAAGCAATGGGAATGATCCAGAAGCTAGGAAATTGGGTCCCACATGAATTGAGAGAAAGAAACATTGCGAAATGTTTAACCATTTGTGAATTGCTGCTTCAAAGACAAAAACGGAAGTCGTTTTTGCATCGAATTATGACTAGCGATGAAAAATGGATTCGTTACGACAACCCTAAGCGCAAAAAATCATGGCTACGTCCCGGCGAACTATCAACATCCACGTCAAAACAGGATATTAATGGAAAGAAGGTCATGCTGTGTATTTGGTGGGATCAAGTCGGTGTAGTGTATTATGAGCTGCTGCAATCAAGTCAAACCATCAATGCTGAACGTTACCGACGACAATTATTCAATTTAAATTGAACACTCAAAGAGAAACGCCCGCAATATGCCAAAAGACGTGACAAAATTATTCTTCTCCATGACAATGCTAGACCACATGTCATAACACCTGTGAAAGAAATCTTGGAGATACTTGGATGGGATGTCTTACCCCACCCGTCCTATTTACCAGACGTTGCTCCTTCCGATTACCATTTGTTTCGGTCGATGTAGCATGGCCTTTCTGAGCAGCACTTCAGTTCTTTCGAAGATATCAAAAAATGGCTCGATGACTGGATCACCTCGAAAGAACCTGAATTTTTCTACCGCGGAGTCCGCATGTTACCCGAAAAGTGGGAAAAGGTTGTAACTTCCAAAGGACAATACTTGGAATAAGATATAATGTATCGTTCTTTTGAAATAATAATGAGTTTTTGTAGCAAAAAATAGCGAAAATTAATACAAACACTTAATATATAAAAAAATATAAAATATATAATAAATATAAAATATATAAAAAAATATGTACATATAACATAATATTATCAGTGTGAATAATTTTTTAATATCTGTGTTACTTCCGACTAAATTGTCATTAAGTATACCTGATTGCACAAAATCGTAACTAGATAATTGTAATTCTTATTATGGTAAATTTATGGTAATCATATATTGATAAAAATTGAGCAAGGAATACCTTTATAATAAGTTTTGTAATAAATTTACATATATTTTATATAAAATTTTCAATATTTTAAATACAATTTAAATAAACTGTCATTCATCGATTGTACATTTTTTAGAAACTTATTGTATACACAATGTCGGAAAATTTTCGGTACATCTGTAGATGCAGATGGAACGAATTAAACTAATTAAGAAAATCATATACCATTTTACAAAATTCGTAATAATTATTAAGTAATTAAACCGTCTGAGCGAATGAGCGCGTGGGAAATGGAAGCCATCATTCTTTATACGTGTCTACAGAGTCCGGCCTACCGTTTCCTTCTCATTCGTTCAGACGATTTAATTAAGTACTTAATATTTATTGCAAATTTTGCAAAATAGTACATTACTTTTTTATTGATTTTTGTTCAATTGACTTTCACGTTTCGGCTTGGCAAAATATGTCAAACCTTCTGTATATAATCGAAGTATGTAATTGAAGAACAAATCGTTAGAATTAAATAATTTCTGATTTTGATAATGCAAGTGATTTGTTTGCTCCTATATATTATTTGCATTATTAAAGTCGAAAATCGTCGTTCTAACAATATTTGTTTTTCGATTTATATTTTGTAGGTATTTTTCACTAGTTTAGCACTCCTTGTTCTTTGTAAATCCTAATTTAATCATAATTCTTTCCGTTACCCGAGATAAAACGTGATAAGAATTCAATAATATAACCTGATGAGGACATTTATAATGAATCGTGATTAAAATCCTAATTACTGTATAGCGTTACATGACTTTTTAGAACCTGGTAATATAACTTTAGATGGACTCGACAACCAGTTAAAGTCAACCCAAGCTCTGGACAATGGAGCAAATTTCTAATTGGAAGGAAACAAAATTTCTTGTTCTTATTAACCAAATTTGGTTCTCATAATCAAATTAAGTTAGTATATAATTATTTATTTTTATATTATTTTTCCTTACAATTGATCAATAATAGCTTTATAATCCCATATTCATACTTATACTCATTTCTTATTTTACATATTTTTATTTCTGTTTTGTACTATATCTATTTTATGTTTATTATTTTCTCTATGTATTTTCTATGTATTTTCTTGCTTCATTTATGCTTTATTTTGTGGTTCGGCTTAATAACAACGATTAGCTGGCGCCCCGCCAATTGAATATATTTCTGTTCACTCGATATATCTAAACAATACTACACACTATATTCAATATAGATACAAATAATAATAACAATCAGAAATGTTGTTTCCTTTAATCAAAACACGTTTGGTCGCCCATTGTCAGATAGATTGTCAGACAGAATCAAATTCATTTTTCAGTGTATAGTGAATTCTCCGTTCTGAATTGCGGGATGAGTATTTTTCATTCGAAATTGAAAAGTGAGTTCGATGTATTCTACAGAAACACATTCACTCTGATTGATCGAAACATTTGCTCGCACGGAGTCAGAATCCACTCCGAGCTGGAATGAAGCATTCGTTTTTGCGATTTCGAGTGGCGATATTTTCATTATCGCTTTGAATGAAAACACCGGCATTTCTTATTCTTTTCGAGCGAGATTTCACCCCGAAAAAATTAGAGAGTATCAAAATTTCCCCCTGATTTATTCGCAGTATCGCAACAAGATGAACGAACAGCAGAATCAAGTGGTATCGCAGCAACGCCTGGCCCTGGCGCAGAGGCAGGCCGAGATGGCGTCGATAGACGCGCGGATAGCGCAGCTTCAAAGTCGTCTTCAGCGTAAGAGAGCGTTAAATCAACGGCTGAGCCATCAGTTGGGTTCAGGGTCCGGACGCATCGGCGTCAGTACGACAGGATTCCAGGACGCGAAGCTCGACGGCTTTAACAGCGGCGGCAAGCTGAGGCCGGCCGGAAACATTGCCGCGATCGAGCCTTACTCTCACATACCCAACGACAATGATTTCAATCTGAACAAGAACGATCCAAAATACCAGACATTGCCGTACAACACCAAGTTCACGGTGAATTTCAAGGCGATAGAGGACGACGTGAATAAAAATAAGATACAACATTCAGCCAGTGCTTCCCAGTTAGGACAGCGGCCGGCCTTTCAGCAATACGGACACCAAATCGTTCATAGCCAGTCGCAGTCGCACATTCAGGGTGAGAGTTCGCTTTTACTCACGTCCTATACTTGAGTTGTCTCGGAGGAAGCAGATATGTATCGATTTCTAATTTCTAAATAATTCATCGATCGAACGTGTTTAATCCCCGCGACATCCTGCGTAATAATGATAAAATTTTCACTGTTAGCATAGTTTCGATATGAAAGTATAATTTTACGCAGGTCTAATATCCAATCGAATGTTTAGGTCAATCTCAATTATTAGGAAGTAATCAGCAGCAACAACAACAACCACAGCAGCAGCAGCACAATCAAAATCTCAGCAATCAAGCTGCGACAGTCCAATCGAGTTGCAACTACAACAATAACAACAACAACAACAACAATAACAACAATAATAACAACAATAACCTCATCGGAAGCGGTAGCGCGCATAGCTTCAGCCCGGACAACCTATCGCAGGGTCTTCGCATTCATCAAGGTCATCAGCAGCAACAGTTACAGCAACAGCAGCACCAGAATGGCAACGGAGGCCAGCAAAAACAATACAACGTGACTGGCACTGCATCGAGCAGCGCGTCGACGAATCTCGGCGTCACCGTCTCGTCGATCTCGCAGGCGCAGAACCACCGCAACTTGCAGGCCATTCATCAGAAACCAGTGTCGAGCGTGGCGCCTAGTTTCTCTGTCAAGTCGCAGATCTACCAGACGTCCTCGACCAAGATCCATCCGGTGATGCCGCAGACATTGAGTCTGTTGGGTCGCGGGCACGCGAACAACACGCCGAACTACAATATCGCCAGTTTCAACGTACAGCCGAGTGGCAATCAGCAGCAGCAGCAGACCACGACCAACAGCGCGCCGCAACTGGTGCAATCCAGCTGTGTTGGCAACCAGGAGACGATAAACTACAACGCATCCAGACACGGTTACACGCCTGGATCGCAGCAGCAGCAGCAGCAGCAACAGTATCCCAACCAGATAAATATTCATGCGCCCTCGTCAACCATCTATCAGGTCCAGAGAGAGTCATCGAATCTTGCTTCGATTGGTATTCATGGCACCGCCACGGTCGCCTTTAGCAACGCTTCGAGCGCACAGAAGTACAACCAGTCGCAGCTGTCGTCCGGCTCTAATTTGGATCCGCAGAACCAAGATCCGCAGAATCAGATCTTGAATAGTCAGAAGGTCAAGTTCGAGTCAGGCAAGACTCAAGACAAGTTCGAGCATGCTGTATTACCACCCAAACACGAGCAGCAGCAGCAACAGCAAACCAACAGATATGATTCGAGTTTCGCTAAATACGAATCTCAGCAAATCAAGTACGAGCAGCACGGCAAGTACGAGCAGCCGGCAATGCAGGCGTCGAAGCTATATGAGCAACAGCAGAACAAGCACGACCAGGGTGTGAGTCAGGCGAAGCACGAACAGCAGCAGCAACAACACCTCAATGCCAAGTACGAGTCTGGCCGGGAGACGCAATACAATAAGCATGAGCAGCAACAGCAGCATGAAAGCAGATCGTCCAACAAGTATGACCACAATGCGACGTTCAAACACGAGCCTACCAGCAAGTACGACAACAATGGCCAGTACAAGGCCGAGTACAAACCAGAGCAGAACAAGTACGAGAGCAGCCAGAACAAATTCGACGCACCAGGATCCAAGTACGAGCAGAACTCCACGGCGAAGCACGTAGTCGATCACGCTGTCAAGTACGAGATTCCGGTGAAGGCGCCGGACAAGCCCTTCGAGTTCGACCGAGCGAAGAGCGACGGTGAGAGAAAGAGCTTCAACGAGTCGCGGATGGAGGACAAAACGAAGCCGGCGCTGCCACCGAAACCGAGCAAACCCAATCCACCACCGAGGTTGACTCATCACGAGAAAATCGACGCGCCACCAGATGGGATTAATGATTGCAAGATGACCAATGCTAATCTTAATTCGAGGTTTGTCTTCCAGTTCCAGTTGATAGCTTCGATCGGGAAGTTTTGTCATTTCCATGTTCCTTAATCCTGCTGTTCTGTTCGAATCTGTTTGCTTTGAAATCATTTTTATTTCCCTGTTATATTTTTATGTAATAAGTGAGCGTTCTGGCATTTCATGAATTTGTTTCAGAACTTAGTTTCAAATTAATGTTCTCGAATTGTGAAACATAGTCATGAAATACCAGAACGCTCGTTCAAATCACATCAAAATGTAACAGGAAAGTGAAATGATTTCGGGCCAAATAGACGCGAACAACAGAATTAAGCTCTTAATTCTCTTCATATTTAACTAAGAACGAAAAGAAGCGAAAATAGAAATTGCATTGCAAAGTTAATTTCACACGTTTCTCTAGGTCAAAGAGTTTATTTTATAACAATTTTACAGCTAAGACTACTCGCGGGTAATATGTTTTGTCAACTGAAGTCTCAAATTTGATGGCGACCACAATAAGTTCGCAAGTCCGTTGATGCCCTTTACACTGTCCCTCCTCCTCCTCGGAGAGCCACGAATTGGTTGAAGTATTCATCGAGCGATTCACGTTCGGACTTGGGCTGCGGAATGACAAAACGATTACCGGGTTAATTATAAATGTTAATTAGTTCGCGATCGATTTGGCCGGTGAATCGAAGCCTGTCTCGAATAATAGACACCGAAATAGAACCGCGACTATGTGCCGTAGAGACGACATGGACTCTCTCTCTCTCTCTCTCTCTCTCTCTCTCTCTCTCTCTCTCTCTCTCTCTCNTTCGCTAGTTCTCCGATCAGTACATGCGTTCAGCGTGCCGTGCTCGCCAGTTCGACGATCTCGCGTACGATCCCGCGACTCGATCTCTGTTTACCTGGCGTTTACGTTGGCAGCAACACCTGGACCGGACGATATTGTTAAGATTTTCAGTTATGTCCACAATTGTACGTTATCGATCAATATTCGGCTGGTGCAAGAAAGACTTGTGGAATCTTGAATGAATTCTCGACGTTACATAAATCATATCATTCGATTTCCCCCTCGATGTGGTGGAAAGAAAGAAAGAAAGAAAATCGTCAGTCTTAACCGAAGTGATCTTGTTACGGGGAAATCATCGTGCTCTCACTTTGAACATTTAATCACACTTTGTGCTCTGAAATCAATTGATTGATTTTCTTACGCGTGCTCCACAGATCGGATAAGGACGAGGACATACCGCCGATTCCCACTTCAGAGCCGCCCGATTCTCCCACGGAGACGCAGCTGGCCAATCACCAGATTATCAAGGCGCGACCGCTGAGTCTGAAGAAAGTACCGATATCGGAACAGCCGAAGCTGAGATACGCCAAATCCAATGTTCACGTGTCGATAAATCGACGGATTGAAATGCCCCCGGCTTTCCTCTTTCCGGAGACGGAAATCCCGGCGGATCTCATGCAGACTGAGCAACAACAGCAGCAACAGCAGCAGCAACATCAGCAACAGACCACCGACGCTACGGACAATTGTAAGAGCATTACCGCGATCGGCGAGGACATCGGCGACAGCGAGAAGTTGGAAGAATCGGACATTGTCGACGCACTCAATGTCATCAATATTGACGATAAGTCGACGAAGATGAAGAGTGATGCGGAACTATTGGGCACCGACGTGGACGTGGACGGCGGCAAAATATCAGAAGTGATAAGAAGGAAGAAGGGGAACCTCAAGTCGAGCACGGGCAAAGTCAATCTGTCCAGGCGGGTGTCGTTCGATCCGTTGGCATTGCTGCTTGACGCCAGCCTCGAAGGTGAGCTCGAGCTCGTGAAGAAAACCGCCAAGGAGGTCGCCAACCCGAGCTCCGCTAACGACGAGGGCATCACCGCTCTGCACAACGCCATATGCGCCGGTCACCTCGAGATCGTCAAGTTCCTCGTGGAATTCGGCTGCGACGTGAATGCCCAGGACAGCGACGGATGGTAAATCGGATCGATCGTTTGAATAATCGGCACAGCTGGATCGGCAACAAAAGCGCCTTAGTCCGGATCTACAATAAATGCAGCAAGGCTGACAGCACGTAGAAAAATGTAAGCAGTAAGACTTCAGCACTAAGGAAATTGATCAGCCATAGTAGATTATTCTTAGACTATAAGGAGAATGGTCGACTATGATTGAGTAATTTACTTATTGTTTACATCTTACTGCTTGCGTTTTTTAATGTGTACAGGCTTAAGCTTTTTGCTCGAAATGCTATATTGTAACGTAATTTATAGCAGACAACATTTCCGTTACCAGATTTACCAGACTCGCAATTCCTAAGGCTTAAGGCTTTCTTGCCTTTGTTCTGTAACTTTTAAGGTACCCAGTAAGCAAAATGTTAGCAGTATGCCGACGAATTGGTAGTAGATTCGATTAGAATACCTTGGCAGATTTATAGTCATTTGTGTCATTCGTATTAAGCTCGTGTTCTGTCGATAGAGTCTGTTGACATAATTTGACAGCAGATTGGCGGTGGAAATCGAGCAGAATCTACAGTATCAATTTCATCTAAATACATTAAAATGGTGACGAAACGACAGATCCTGCTCGGTTTTTGTCGTTAATTTGTCACCATACTCTGTTAACAGATCATATTATATTTTTATTAACGAACTGTCGAGCAAATTTATGTCCGTCGAGACAGGTATAATGAATACGTTACAAATCTTTGCGCAGACAAAATGTATCATAAAATCGCTTAATAATACGTTAACTATAACGAAATTGTCGTTAAAAGTTACAGAATAAGGGAGGCGCTGTCGTTAAAAGTTACAGAATTAGCCTACTGGTTCCTCGCTGCAGTCGTATTGCTTGATGACATTGCAAGTAAGAAAACGCATGCCCAAAATTTTTGCGAAATACGTTGAAACAAAAAGATATATCTATAAAATGACATTCGTGATCGATTGAGCACATTTGTCAAATATTTCGAAAGCTTTCCTCTTTTGCTCTAACAATCAACAAATAGCTAATAGCCATCAACAAAGACAACATGACATGCGATCTTCCTTTAGAACTTATAATTTTTCATGATTTTGTCACGTTAATTTTAAAGGTTCATTGTTAAAGTAAAAGGAAAGTTTTTGGAATATTTTACAAATGTGCTCAGCCTATCACAAGTGTCATTTTACAGACATATTCTATTATTTAATATTCTGCGAAAATTTTCAGTATGCATTTTTTCGCTTTTAATGTTGTTAATTAAAATAGCTGCGGGAAGGAAATAGGAGCCTTAAGCGTTATTATAACTTTTAGCAACGTGGGAAACGCCTTTTTATCAGAAATTACATTATTGCTTTTATTGCTCAAAGACAGCAAAAGGTTGAAGGCTCACTATATCTGTTACAGGTCCGGGCCTAACAATTAATATTTAAATCTTTAACTAAATTAAAATTAATATTTTGTTTTAACATTAATGTATTTCTCACACAGGACCCCATTACATTGCGCAGCCAGTTGCAACAATTTATCGATGGTGAGGTTTTTGGTCGAGCACGGCGCTTGTATCTTCGCGACCACTCTGTCAGATCACGAAACCGCGGCGGAGAAATGCGAAGAGGACGAAGAAGGATTCGACGGGTGTTCGGAGTATTTATACAGTCGGTATCGATTATTACGAGAATTAGCATTGACGACGAAATAGCATGTTTGTGAGGAAAGTTTCGTCGTTTTTTTTTCAGGCGTTCAAGAGAAATTGGGCATCATGAACAATGGTCAGGTCTATGCGGTCTTCGATTACGAGGCACAGCACGCCGATGAGCTTTCCTTGAAGAACAGCGATTCTGTGGTCGTACTGCGGAAGGGAGACGACAACGAGAGGGAATGGTGGTGGAGCAAGCTCGGTCACAAGGAAGGCTACGTACCTCGGAATCTGTTGGGGGTAAGCATGAGAGCTCAGACACAATAAAAAGAATAAGGAACAAAGAATTACATTTCGACATATGGACAATTATGTTTCAATTCATAATAAAGGAATAAGGAACAAGAATTAGGAACATTGTCGAAATTCTACCTCTTATAAGTGTGCTTATACGGCCTAATAATTGACTGAAAATTAATCTACAAAATGTCTAATAACGATCAATATACAAATAAAAGTCAGAGTTAATCGACAATCATCAAGAAAATGATAAAGCGTTAATGATGACAATAGAGACAATTCATCAGAAAATATGGCAAAAGTAGTGATTTTGTTTTAAAACGTTCTTACGTATTATCTTATTCTCTACATATTCCTTTTGTTATATTTTAAATTATAGCTTAAATTTCGAATGTCTTATAAATAATTCCTTACATTTTCCAGATAGAAATATTGAACATAGTATGTAAATGTTTAATGTATGCTTTCTCATGCCAAGTGCAACAGCATAATATGTTTAAAATATATTTATTTTAAGAAATATTCATTTATTACGCATTACAATTTTAATCCAAATATTGGTTTCTTATTACTACAATAATTCCAGATTAATTCTCTTTCAGGAAAAATAAGCAGCAATATTTATGGCACTAGAATATCGTAACAATATTGCCGCAATTTTCGCGGCATCGGATGATTTTCTTTTATATATTGACAAAATGCTTATTGTACAAAGACGCATTAATGTACTTATGCTAATCACGATGCAACCAATTATATCGAAATACGTCTATTTGGGTTGATTTCCTCGTTCCTTTCATTGTGTCTAAGCCCTAATTGTGTTGATCGATCGATTTCCCTTAACAGTAAGCTCTGAGCCTTGTGAATTAAACTGTGCTGTTTACGTTTCCCAGTTGTATCCTAGAGTGCAGCCGGCGAAAACGGACTAAGAAGGGGTCTTTCGTGTTCTTGCAGGATATCCGACGATTACTACAGTATTCGATTTGCAGCTTTATCTTGTTAATTGTTATCCTACAACGTAGGCAAGTTTTAACAGCGTTATTTAATAGCATTTCATTGCGACATGCGGATACGGATTCTCGCGAGAGCGAGAACCCGTGCGATTTTTTAACGGTGTAGTAATCTCTTAATTGCACAGCGTATGTAATTGTATTTCTTTTTTTTTTTTTAATATTCTTTCAAGAGCGGATCGCATTATTATGGAACTTGAGTGGCGAACAATTACGATCTGCCGTAAACCGACCGAATGCGCTTCGCGATCCATTCGATTTTACTACACCTGCCACGATTTGCAGTCGCACGTTCTCAACTTCACTTTCTGCTCGAGAAAGTTTAGCTAAGAATTATAGTGGCACATCTCGTACCGTTTACACACGCTCGTGGAGTATTACAGATCATTTTACATATGTTGGTGTACTTAATTGTTCATTAGTTGCGTGTAGCGACTGATTCATCTGTTTCGGAAAATGATATCTTTATTACGCAGGTTGTACAATAATTGACGGAAAATGGAATCGTCTTAATCCTTTGAAAATTGGCATCGAGAGAATTTGTTAATATAATTATAAATAATTGCAAATGTGCTGTAAATTAATTGTAATCGGGTAAATTTGGATCTACCTAACTATACTCAATTGTAAATTTTCATTAATGATTTTCCACCTGATCATGTCTGCCAATCAAGCTTCCGTGACACGAGTGGTCATTCGTTCTCGCGATACAAAATATATTGTATTTTTGTGTAGTCGTACAAAAAATTGTAATTTAAGTGTTAATTATTCGCACGTCAAATATTGAAATAAGTTGTAATATTTAATAAGTATAAGAGACACATGACCTTTCTCTGTATTTTCGTTCAAGACCGATTCAGTCGAGACTTCACGAAAGCGAACAGTGTTATAATGCTCATCTTCCGTCAATTCTCGGCCACCCTGTGATTCATGCGAGCGATCAATAGTACGAGTTTTACTTCGCTCTTAATTTGCTTCACCTAAATGTTCGAGTTTAGATGAGGTCAGATTATATTGTTACATTTTTTTTTAATCACATGTTTGCCGGAAATATCGTGTCGAGGAAGTCCTTCGGCCGATCTCTCCGATTTCGAAGTCGTTCCTAGAGACGTAATCTTGCCAGTATGCACGATAAAATGATACGATAGGATTTACAAATGGTGTGCAGATGCTTGGAAAAACATAAGAAATATGATACTAAAACAATACTAACAAAAGATATTTCGATACATCACCCCAAAACGTACTACCGACTCGGTAATGTCTAAAAACTTACGTAACTTAGCTAGGCATGTACAAGATAGCGATTATCACGACCGAATATACCGAAACGTCGTGAATTTTCCCAGTATCATTGCTATTGCACTCTCATGACAAATCTGTACAGGCGTGCGAGGTACGCGGTCGCAAGTCACTTGGAAAATTTCTGATCGCTGGTTAAATGAAATATGTGCCTTTCGAAAGTAATAATGAATATATTAGAATATAAGGAGATACACGATATATATTATGACGAATAAATCGTTTTTAATAAAAAGAAAAATACACATATATATTAATCCATTCTCCCTGACGCAATTCACAATAAATACGTTATAAAAATCGTAAAAGTGATTATAATGGACACATTACAAGATACTTTCGCAAAGTACAAAAATAAATGACGACACTGTGTACTTTCCGAACATTTCGAATGTTTTAACAGGTTCAAAATTGTGTGTCAAAAGATGACACTCGATAATGTTCGATATGCAATAACAAAACGCCATTTGAACGCTTATCATGAAGATATGTTTTCGATTTCGTCTTCTGTCATTTAGACCATATTTTTTATACGAGTAGTCCGAATAAGTCTAGACCAAACATACTACCAAGTCAGAAAATTTTACATTCTAACAAGTACAATACTTCTCGTGAAATTGTCCTTAAATGGAAAAATGGACCTCTCAAATGTATTTACTGTTTTCCCTATTAAATTGGTATTTTTAATGGCAATTCATTTCTCCTTTTATTTCTGATACAGATGCCGTAATTAGCAATTACTGTGACAAATTAAAATAATCTTTCCATTTAAGGATGAATACAAAATTAGATTATCTATATCTTAAAACAAAAAGCATAAAAAATATATTATAAAAATATATATATATAAATTGTATAATTAGTTTCACTTCAGCTAATGTCAAATGGCAGATGATAGATATTAGATATATTTAATATCGCGCATTTGTGTTATCTGTACGCAAATATACTTATTGATTGAAAAAAATATATAGATACGAGACGAATATTATATATAATTACATTGATGAATGTGTGTGGACAATTTTTGAACAAGTAATGTCACATATTGGTTATTGCAGTGACTTAATGTTACGTAAACAGAAGAATTTTTTTTGCATTTTCTACTCAAAATATCGTTAAAAAGTTTCTCACTGGTTGATTTTAAATCACTACACATATAAATACGTTGTTAATTTCAACTGCCACATAAATATGCCAAAATAAATATCTAAATAAAGCTGGTGTGTTCACGCGGGAAAAATATACGTGGTAGAAGAAAAGAGATCTAACTCTTTTGCTTCGCCTCCTTCGCTTCCTTCGCCATCTGAAGACAGATTTTAAAATCTTCACACTGTCCGGCAATGGCCTCGAGCCTGAAAATAATCGAGTATGTATCGTCAATATTGTTTATATGTTTGGATACTTAAAAAAAAATTCCAAATATTTTTCAAAATGTGCGTTCAACTTGAGTGTCATTATTCTACGTACTTTTCAATGTAAATCTCCAAATGCGACGTTTCGAAATTTTCTCTTCTTATAGCTTGAATGCAGAATTGCGATAAACTTTTGAAGCATCTATGTGTGGTATTCTGATGACCCTGATTTTCCCACTCTGGCAATTCTCGCACAATTTCCCATGCTGCCAGCACATAATTCATCAAAGACATCCAATGTTGAGACTCTTGCAGTAGTGTTCCTTGCTCGACCAAGGTTTTCTGAGAGAAAAATGAAAATTAAACACAGATTATGTCGTCAAAACCACTAATTTTCAACAAGCAGAATGATTGAATTCGACGAAGAGCCCAAATTCAAGTTCGGATGATTCGAATTCTCTCTTGTGAGAGGCCAGAATAGAAAAAAGAAATTTGTTCACCTCGAACATGTCCAGATGTATATAAGCACGACTATACGCGGAATCGTCCAGATTAGAACATATAAGGCTGGCGTAAATATTCTGTCTGAAGACATTTAGTTTCTGCATCAACGGTTGAATATCCGCGATCGGCATTTTTTTCAAGAAAATGTTACGAAGTGTTGCGCTCTCAAAGAGTGAATCATTTTCTTGCATGTGTATCACATTCATGATCATTTGCACCAATTGTTCATGACTGAGGCCTCGTAAACTATTTGTTAAATTATCGACAGACTGCTCTTGCGATATGTTCGTGTCCGACATTATGGAGTGAGTCTTCCTCTTCTTCTCTGGTGTGATAAATTCAGACTGGTAAATATCAATGAGAGAAAGCCTTTTCTTAGGTGGATTCCTCAGAAGATCCCTTGAAGCCTGTGGGTTTTTAACTGGTGTACGTTCTCTGGAGCTTAAGCTGAAATAAAAGAAGATTTATCAGAATAGATAATATAAGATAGATTAGATGTATAATCTGTTGAATGTAAAAAGTAATGAGCCTAAATCACAAATATGAATTTATCAGATTTACTAATAATAATGAACTCAAAACACATAGATATTCATTTTGACTGTATGAAAAGTCACAATATGTTTTTAATATTATTTGAGAAATTCACAAAAGTATTAAGTATTTTAAGAACTTTAATGTTTAATTATTATTGCCCAATATAAACCACTTTGAGTTTTCAATTGATAGAACTGCTTGAAAATTTTCAAAATAGATTCAAAATATTTACCGTTACTTCTAATAAAAATAATTTTATCACAGATGCAAATATATACAAATTAACATAATAAATGGTGTAGATAGATGGATACCTGAGCAGATTGTTCCGTTTATTAGCATCAAGATCAGGTGACCATACTATATTCCTACGTCGGCCTCTCTTTTGAATAACAAGTTCATCAGGACTCTGTGGTGAGCTCCAACCATCGGGACGTCTATTTAATAAATTCTCTACTGAAGGTACATCCATAGTACGAGATACACCTATAATAAATAAATAAATAAATAAATAAATAAATAAATAAATAAATAAATAAATGAATAAATAAATNGGATAAATTTACATACTTACATGGATATTTGAGGTTAATATACAAAAAATTGTACCCGAGAGTTGAGATTAACCGAAAGCACATTAATTTGGTCGAAAAATCCGATGATTACATCGTCAGAATTAGGAACACGATATGATATTAGACCCAACATATCGAATATACCTGGTAACAAATCGGCGGGAATCGCAGTTAAGCGTAGACGCGTGTGCATCGTATGCATAGGATCTCGTATCCGTCGAGGCCGTCTTGCCGTCCTTGCGGTATTCATTGTCTACGTAATGATGTACTCCAGATGATTCTCCAATCCAATCAATCATCCATCATGTAAGTTTCAGACATAAAACACGATAAAACGCCCGTCAAACATACCCGTCTTCTTCTCTTCTTCCGATAGATACTCGTCAGTTACGAAATGCACAATACGCCTGTCAAAGTGTACATTAGCGTCATCTGTGCCTCCACGTCTTGAATTACGTTGTTAATACACGCCTTTCATGCTATTTCTAGTTTAACCTTATTGAACATATACGCATAATACATATAACATATTTCCAATATACAAATTTATAATAAATAAGGATATAACATTACCATACCGTATGAACGAAAAGTGCAATGACGATGTCTGAGTCGATACTTGGAAGATGTCTTTTAATGTGTCCACTAAAAGAGCAACGGATGTAAGTCTCTGCTACACAGAACACTTGCACTGAAAAGAACCGAGAGATATGAACGAGATTGCTATTTGTAACTTAAATTTTAATGTTTAACAACTACATTCTGCACTTATATAAGCAGGATAATTGAATTTATAAGTAGGAATATGTATTTTATTTATCTCGATATACTTTGCATTATCATAAAATACAAGACAAAATTTATAAAATTTAACATTTTTTAAATTTAGGAGGGAGGTGGAAGGATTATTACATAAATATGAAATTGATGAGAAAACGAAACACATGAAAAGATCTAAGGTTGATCCTGGCAAAGCTGTCAAGTGCTTTAGTCGTTCTGCTGCTGGTCAAGTTATGACAAATCCAGATTCATTACGTCCACCACATATATTACTATCTACTATTCAATATCTGTTTACAGAGTAACTTTCAATTTCATATTTATTATAAATATATAATTATGAGTTTTATTTATTAAAAATTAAGAGAGGAAAAAAGAAAGAGAAGAAGAGAGAAAGTAAGAGAGAGTGAGAGAGAGAGAGAGAGAAAAGCCAGAGAAGTTCATCACTAAGCATAATTTAACTGTTGTGCAAAATTTTTGTATTAAGTTATTATACACTAATGTTATTAGTAAAAGCAACCTATCTAAATATTACATAACACAAGTAATATATAATAATATTTTAGGATAGTTACAAAAACAGATTTAAATTGGGTGTTGATATATGATTTTGTATTTGATCGATTGAGGTCAGTGCGACAAGATGCTGTAATTCAAAGAATTGATACCACTGCATATATTCGTCTCCTAGAACCGATTACCCGCTTCCACATTTACGCAGCGCAAAGGTATGAGCAAAATAAACAGCCCATTAAAAAAGTTTTGAGAAATTATTAGGTACAACACACGTCATTCTCTCTAGGCTATGTGAGAGAAATATTTCAGAATTTGATGCAAAGATAAATAATAAGCATTTGTTAGAATGTATCAAGCATTTACTTGTGCTGTACGATGAACAAGATAGCAAAAGTGTGACAGATAATATGGACTTATATAAAGATTTTGACAAAATGACAATAAACAATAATCGATCAGAAATAGAAGCTTCCTACATTCTCCTTCATATCGGAGATCAAGATGCTCTGCAAAGAGCTCTTACTCTTTCATCAGATTTGAAGTGAGTTGCTGATGCCATGATAAAAAAATTAAAAGTTATATAAAATTTACTTTTTGCTTTTGAACAGAAATTCACCAGCAGTTAAATTAGCTATACAAATATCATTGGCTTGGTACTTGAGGAACTATGTTCGTGTCCACTATTTAATTCAACGACTATCTCCAATACTAGCTTGTGCATTTTTTTCTAATTTACAAAGCTTCAGGAGGTATTTGATATTTAATCTTCATTATTTATCATCACACACGACAGATAAAATATATAATAGTAATGTAACACACAAATATATTTAAGGATAAGTAACATATTGTATCTTGATTACTAATTAACTAATAAATAAATGTATTATATTTCAGAAATGTTTTACAAATCATGAGTTCTGGTTATAATAACAAAATGTTAATATTCCCGGGATTAAAATTACAGGAACTGTTGTTCTACAAAGATATAAGTAAAATCCAGGCAGATTGCAATCTATTTGGATTGACGTTCACTAACGAAAATGTTCTTTTCCAGAAATCACAGTTCAACGAAAAAATGTTATTAGTTAGTATATAATGTTAAAATATGCATTTAGATTGTGAGAAATTTATACATTTTATACAAAATTTCCACTTATTCATTTCGCGTATTATTTTCTTTACTTTGCAGGCCAATCCAGAGATGTATTACACTACTACTGTTTTACACAAGCTTGTACCAAAAGTACTTTTAGAATGCACATCTATGTAGCAATAAATGCAGAGTCAAGATTGTAACGTGTAATATTTTCCGCGTTTTTATTTTCTAAGTTAATATTACGTAGATCATATGATGTTTAATATAAAGATGTTTATATATCTATTGTGAGAAATATATAAATATATAAACATATCTATTGAGAATCACTGGATGAACTACTCGAAGAATCCGTAGACATAACTTCAACGTCTTCAGTCTCTTGTTTATGTGTATTCACAGCCACACTTCCTTGTCCAACGGACATATGAATTTCTCCCGACGGATGCCATGCGAATTGGTTTGATTGTGAAACGGGTGGTTCTGAAAGAGCAATAGAAGATCTTGAAATCTGGCTGATTTCTGAGAAAAATTTAGATGGCTGATTCATTAGTCTTTATCCTTCTTTGTGTTTTATTTATCGATTTGAGCACAGTATATAAAGATATTTTACCTCCAGTAGGATGTCCTGCTCTATGCAAGTCAGACGGTAAGCTTGGATGAGACCCAAGCATCTGTCCATTCAGAGGTACATCGCCCAGTCGTCCTAGAAATCCTAATCTCATTTCGATATCTGTAAAAAGTTTGGATTTAAATTGTATTTAGATATACACATAGGAAACTTTTCTATTATATTTTAATATGTTATAATTTTTCAATTAAATTATTAGATGGTTGTACAATATATAAATATAAGATATAAATATAAGATACCTGTGGGATAAGGTCTTCTAGGATCTCCTTGTTGCCATGATAATGGTGCACAAATAGCATTTGTTGCACTTATCCTATGTGCATATTTAATAAGCTCTTCTGAAGCAACAGGTCTTTTGTTAGCACGTGCAATAGATTGTAATTTTTGCTTTGCTTGATAAATTGCTGTAGCTAAGATTTGTTCTGCTTCTTTCAGTTGTCGTTGTAATTGCTGGATGTCCTGATCTTGCCTTTCTACTTCAGCTTTCAAAGCTTCCATTTTCAAATTAATCTTGGCTTGTTCAGCAGCCCGTTTTAATGTTGCCTTTAATTCATTATCCTTGGCAACTAGCAGTTCTGTCAACTGAGCATGTTCTGTACTTGAGAGTTTTGCTGGCTTTTGAGCAATTATGTTTTCTATCATCTCTCTGAAGAAAATAATACACATGCAAGAAATAACACAAATTTTGCAATCATAACTTTTTACTGAAGAGAAATATTAATTTAGGAACATTACAATTCAACATTTTGAATGTTTGGAGGAAAAGACCAGTTTAACACGTTGACTGCCAACTACGAGATATCTTGTCGCTTCATTACTTGATTAAATTAAATTGGCTTCTTAGACCAGAATCGTGAAAAGTTCCATGGCAGTCAACGTGTTAATTCATTCATTCGCAAATAACAACTTACTTTGCTATCAATTCAATATCATCTATAAGTGATAATAAAACTTCTTTTGTACTTTTACTCGAAGCCATGGTTAGCAGTGCTTAGTAACAGATGCAGTATGAATACACCAGTCAACTTTATTGTCTTGTGTAGTACTGTAAAAATATACATATTAAATAATATTCTTTTAAGAGAGGAAATCTCCAAATTCTATAATGGTTAATACTTAAATATTTTATACTAGATTAGATAATTAAATTAAGTTATTTTTGCTTAATGATAAAATGACTAACTAGACATTTTCTTATATATTTGTATCTATTATATTCTGTATGTACACATTTATTATACTTGTATCTCTTTATTAATATTTATAAGATGATTACCTCTTTAGTTTTATCCGTATTGCTTGCACAGTGTATTGTTGTCATTTCAATTCAATTGAGATTAGTGTTCTCTCTTTCTCTCTCTTTTTCTTAATATTTGGCTACAGGTACTCGGAAGAGTATATACTCCAACGCCACTAGTAATATTTAATTATGGAAGAATAAGTTTATATGCATTACACTGAGGAGGAACAACTTAACAAAAAATATGCGGTTCAACGACGAACAAAGGCTTCGCGAGACGTGCACGTCTAGATCGTTCGGCTATTCCCGCGGGACCTGGAGCTAGTGTGTTAGATGCATAGAGATATAAGAATAGAGGGAACAAGCCTGTAAGGTGAAGTCATAGAAGCAAAGAGAGAGATGGATGCCGAGTGTCCTATCAGTCTCTTTCTAGTCACGCGCTGGGATTGGCTGCCGCACCAACGACGATATAGCTATACATTTTTCTCCATTCAATTCAAAGAAACTGTCATTGCTAAAATGATTACTGCAAATATATGCTGTTTTCACTTCAAAATACAAAGGTAGTTGAAGTATATTTAACCATTTACGTCTTATATCTACATCCTTCGGTAGCCTATAACATTTACATATTTTTTTAAATGTAGGAAAAAATAACATATAATTATTTGAGGTTACGTATTTGTACTTTCTTACGAGTGAAAACTACGGTTACATCCAGGATAAAACTCCGCCTTGCATTTCAAACAATGTTTCATTTTTAAACAAATCGCGTCCAATTATTATTTTGTTAACGTTCGAATATTTAACGAATTTTAATTCTACACACATGTGCACGCATATTTACAAAACGAAATTTTAGTCTGCTTTCTCCCCTCCTGACGTCGCGTGGTCGTCTTGGTGGCTTATTGTAACAACCAATCACAGCGCTCGACTAGAAAGAGACAGATAGGACACTCGGCATCCATCTCTCTCTTGACCTCTATCACTTCCACTTACAGGTAGCATATATCCCTTGTTCCCTCTATTCTTATATCTCTATGGTTAAATGCCTCTGATGGGCACCTATATGTAATACTATATATGGCTACGCAGTAGTTTCGCATATATGTAATATTACTATGGGTGCGTTCGGGGAGACGCTATTAACGCTATTTAGCGCTAAAGGCTGTTCGCTGAGCTAGAGGATAGTGCTACAAACGCAATCATGACGTCATTAGTGATAGTGTGCTATGTCATCACTGCGCGCTATAAACGCTATTCTTTCCGAAGTAATGGTAGTGTTAACGTTTGCAAGTTCTGTGAACAGAACTGTATAACATTGTATGTCATAGTTTTTGCACGTGAATATCATACAATACGAGTGCATTGTATTCATTATTTTACTATTATTCTCGCACGTAATGGACAGTTGAGCGGAAATAAAGCTTCGATATGATAATAACGCAGTAATTAGTCTGTTCTTTTTAGCTGCACTGCTGAACTGGTGAAATAAGTTAAACAAAATATACTTGTCTCATTCTAACTTATTGAACTAGTTCAGCAATGCAGTTAAAAAGAATAGACTAAATGCTAACGCTACGCTAATGCCGTTCGTGGAGCTTGCTATTGCTTTCGCGTTATTTGTCTCACAAACAGCATTAGTAATGTTTGCTTTTATAGCGCTAATAGTGTCTTTCTGAACGCACTTTATATAGCCAGTCGTTTTATGCTGTCTATGGATGCGTTCAGGGAGCACGTTTGCAGCTTTATTTTATCGTTCTATTCTTGTTTTACGTCTAATGAACGATAAAGATAGAATAACACAATAGCGCTGATAGCGCGCTCCTTGAACGCAGCCATAGTCTATAAAGCCCATATCAAACTACGGATTAGAAATTGAGATTGAATTGAAATTTGACTAATAAGTGCAAAGTTCACTAAATTTCATTAAACTTGAGTTCAGTTAATTTTGTACTGATTGGCCAAATTCAATCTCAATCTCAGTCCCCAATCTGTAGTCTGATACGGGCTTAACAGAGAGCCGTCTCGGAAAAAAAAGAAAACAGACGATGATATATGTATTTTGACCGTAGTGTGCAGACGCGGCGATCAGATGATGATGATTATATATATATATATACATTTTTAGTGTTATTATGTATATTATGTATTATATATATATGTATATATATGGGTCATTCCATGTGAAAGGGGTACGCTCAAAAATTAGATTTGATCGAAACCTATGGCAATCGGTAGTACTATTTTAGAAAACATTTGTCGAATTTTTTCGGATTTTTTGACCCACACCATGAGTTTCTCGTATTGATACATAGGGAAATAAGAATTTCTCCAGGAAAAATAGGGTTTTCTCCCGCAATTTGTAAAAAAACCTTACTTTTCTGGCGGAAAACCCTATTTCCCTATGTATATATACTGCATCTCCCAACTCTAACGAACAGATGGTGAACATTGCAACCGGAGGTTCAGCCGCGGAAAGGAGAGCGGCTGAACAAAAGAAGAGGAAGGCCACCGAAAGAATGAAAACAAGATCAAGAAGTCTACGAAGTCCATTTACAGGAAGTTTATTTTTATTTAACAAAGACAGTTACTTTACAAAAACAGTTTTATTTTATAAGAAAAGATTATTCCGGTTTTACAAGAACAATTACGTTATAAGAACAATTTTATTTTATAAGAAAAGTTTATGTAGGTTTTTCAAGAACAGTCATTTTATAAGAATAATAAAAGTTTACTTTGGTTTTAAAAGAACAGTTATTATAAAGGAATAGTTTTATGTTAGAAGAAGAGTTTATTTGACCCTATAAGAATAGTCATTTCACGAGAATTATGCATTCTATAAGAGCAGCCTTGATAGATCTAGGGAAAAAGAATTTAGTGTAATATCACAGAGTTGATTATTTACATAAATATAGCTTGAAAAAAGTAAAAAGTTGTAAAAACCAGAATAAAAGTAAAAGAAAACCCCGGTAAGTGATACCGCAGACTAAAACTAACACGAATGCGAGGGGTGATTGTGATTGACGGGGGCCGCCAGCGAATCGGAAAGCGTCGCGGAAGGGGGAGAACGTTTGAAATCAAAGAAGAGGGAAAGGCAGGCAGTTGCAAGCGAGCGCGGGATGATAGAAGACGTAAATTCAGAGGAGCGAAGAATTACGCAGGGACGAAAGGAAAAGAGAACCCTGGAAAAGTTGCTGCTGGAGAGGAAAACCGGCGGAGACGTCCTGGTGCAAAGCCCCCGGTGGTGGCCCAGGGAGAGGCGGGGAAACGACCGGTCGCCTGGCGACGTTAAGTGGTATAAGAAAAATCGCCACAGTTCCCCCTCGTAATTTTCCGGGAAATCGGGACCCCTCGTCGGAGAATAGAGATACCCGGTGGGAGGCTCGACGCGGATCGCGACGAAGAAGGCCGGAATTCGAGGATAAATAAACGACGTCTACTGCGTCGTTTCGTCATGCGTGTCCGAACATGTCTTGGCTCGTTACGGCGAGAGTCCTGCGTCGCAATAGGGCTGGACAAGAAAGCCGCGGATAAAAACTGCGTAGCGGTATTTCCCTTATCATAGCGTCGGTTCGTGGAAAAAATTTCGTCTTCTAGGAACAGTGTTTCTACGAGTTAGATTCAAGACGTAATCGGTTTTTTATTTCAGGACAGTTAATCGTTTTCTTTTATTGTAAATATTACTTCTATACGGACACCCAAACATACCTATAACTATTCCGTAGTTTCTAAGTGCGTTTATCTTATTATCTTAATCAAGCCGTTCCTTATGTATTTTTTTTTATTCCGTTATTCCTTAGAGTATCTGTAATATGTATGTATATATATCTCTCTCTTGTTAATCTTATCATCATTTGTCGCGCTAGTAATTTTTATTTTTTTTTAATAAACAGAGTTTATCAAGTATTTATTAAGTAATATTTTAGTCTTTTACGTTCTAAGAAATGTGCCTCATTTCTCGTGTCTTCCTCCTTTTCCATACCGCGTGTCTGGAGCGGGCATCCTGTGGCTCGAATACTCTCTTCGGGGACGACAGCGCTGTTGGGGAGGGAAATCCCCTCGCGCACCAACTATAACATGGCATATCTGGGGAGACTTGGCCGGTCCAGCTTCCCGGGCCTAGAGTTTGGGCGAAACTCTTAAAACGCCCTGGCGACCGTGGACGGGCAGTGGGATCCTTGGGGAAATTCATTTCTAAAGGTTCGGCGGGGCCTGGATGGTTAAACGTCGACTTTTCTACTCAGTGACGTCCGGTCACAACATAAACTTATAAAATTTATGTGATTAGTTTTTAATACAGCGTCAGGTTAAATCAGCTTAGACCCATAGACGTATATAATAGACCGCGCAACCCAATGGAGAGCTTGAGGTGAACGTAGAGGTGGTGGGGGAGCAACTTTGGGCGTCTGTCTCTTTCTAACTTCGTGCTTTCTCTCTCTCCGGCGGGAGGATGTAGAATAAGAGTGGGGATGCTTGAGGCCCTTGAGGGGAAGCGTCGTCGATGTATTGCGTTTTGAGTCTTCTGCAAATGTATATTAATTGTTTAATAAGTAAATAAATAAAATAAGTTTTTTTATACGAAATGGTTAGTTCTTGTTGTTGTATTTAAGTTGTGCAAGGGTAGAGGGGCTTACATTTAAGCTTGGGATGGGAGATATAAGAGAGCCTGCCCCACTCTTTTGCTAGTCCAGCTCCCCACTCTCGTTTCGCCGGAGAAAGAGAAAGCACGAGGTTAGAAAGAGACAGACGCCCAAAGTTGCTCCCCCACCATCTCTATGTTCACCTCAAGCTCTCCACTGGGTTGTGCGGTTTATTATATATGTCTATGCTTAGACCATGGTAGCAGAGAGTCTCTAATCAGAGTGACGACAAACAGGGGATTCTGCCATATTTCATTAAAATCGTGCGAGTGAGAATGAGATATGTGCTGTCCTTCATGTGTTTCCATCTTATCCTAAGTGCAGAAAGTAAAGCACGACACTCATATAACTTGTAAGCAGCTGGAAACTGTGTTTATATTTTTGTTTGAAAAAATTATAACAGAAACATGGTTAGGTACTATAACATTTTGCAACAATTCCTCGGAAAAAGGATATACTATAAAAATACTGCCGAAAGATCAAGAATGCCGAAAACAATGGATAGATAATATAAATCAGAAATATAAGTGGACACCATTGAAAAATTCATGTATATGCGAAGTAAAATTATTTATTGTATGCATATTTATACTACTATTTACTACTATTGTTTAATTGAGTACGAGCAGTATTGCAGATTGGTCTGCTGTGCTAGAGGTCCCTGGGTTCAATCCCACTAAAAGCCAAAATATTTACGCTCGTGTCTCCTCTCGGAAAGCAAT